TGGGGCCGCCGCCTCGGCGCGCTGCCCCGACCAGCTCCGGCCTGCGGCGCGGGGCCGGTTTGGTTTTTGCGTTCGTTGTTGCCTTGAGGACTGGCAAATTCGTTTCGGAGTTTGCAGCTTTGTGCTTCTCGGAGCCTAAACACTGTTATCTCTTTCTCAGGGTGGCAAATTCTATTCGAAGAGTGTTCATCGCAGAAGTCCCCATTATAGGTATTTACCGTTACTTATAATTTTGCCTGTTTGAGGTCACAGTCCCTTCTGCTGCTACTTCCGTTACTGCCTCATCAGTTCCCGTCTGTTTTTCCTCCATCTCCAAGTCTCCTTTCCTGGATGGCACGTGATGTTTAGCTAGAGCTGGTGGCAGTGATCTGTAGAACGAACGCTGTCTCAGCTCGCCTGGAGTCTGTGTACCGTTTTCTGTTGTTACAAATGCTCTCGTGCCTTCCCCATGCACGCCTCTTTCAGCTTCTCTCTTTTCTCCTTACAGCCATCGACTGGGTCCAGATAGACGCCAACTCCTCTGTGCTCCACGATGAGTTCATTGCACACAGACTGGGTGAGTCCTGGGCGGGTCAGAGGAAGGAGTACAGGAGAAAGGCTAACGCATACAGTAGGGAACAGGACGTGGGCGAAATCTCTCTCTACACTACTGATAGCACTTTACTAGTCTTGGCAGGAGGGTCAGTGCTCCCACAGTCTCACTGAGGTGTATCTCTAATTGCTTTCTTTCCTGAGGCCTGATCCCGCTCACCAGCGATGACATTGTGGATAAGATGCAGTATTCCAGAGTGAGTAAAATAAAACGTCTTTGGTGAAGGTGGGGGTGCCTGTCTGATTTGAAATATTACTGATTCTCGCTAGGAGAGCTTTGGCGTAAAGGTTTTGACCTGTGTCTGTCCTAGGACTGCACGTGTGATGAGTTTTGTCCAGAGTGTTCTGTGGAGTTTAACCTTGATGTCCGATGCAACGAAGACCAGACGCGTCACGTCACATCACGCGATCTCATCTCCAACAACCCCCGTGTTATACCGGTCAGTGTAATGTTCTCTCTGCCTGTCAGCAGGCCCCCTCTTTACGTTCCTGTGGGGGCTGAGGTGGCTAATACTTGGGATATGGACGGAATAAGGCCTTTGAGAACTTTTCACGTTGCCTAAAGTGACATTGAAAACGTAACGAAAGTGCAAAGCAAGGGTATCTGAGGAAAACACGCTGTCTTCCAGTGCCCTCCTCTTCTCTGCTGTGTCCTCCTTTGTTGGCTGCCTGATAGCATCTCTTGTGTAGGCAGTATGATCTTGTTAAGACCTCATCCTACGTATCAGACTCATGGGAGGCTTTAGTGTAGCCCTTCCATCTCACTTTAAACACTTGGAGCACGTGCGCTTGTGTCCTGCTGTCGTGTGATGGCGTTCTCCTGCCTGCTTGCTGCCAGGGCTCTGGCAAGGTCAGCCCCTTTGAAAGCCGGGCAGCTGCCCAGAGGCCTCTAGTTTTCCGATTCTTGGCTCCGAGTGCAGCAAGGTGGAAGGAGCCTGGGCCAGGGCACTCTTGCCCAGTCATCTTGGGGAGGGTTGGTGGGGCCAAAGCAAAAAAGACGCAAAGGGACTTAATGGAGAGTGTTTTAAAATACTGTTAGCTGGAGGGGTCCTGCTCTGAGGCTGCACCCAGAGCTCACCACAGCTTGGGGGCTGCTTCTGGTAGCACAAAATGGAGCTGGTTACAGTGGCTGCCTGGTTAAAGCCTAACTATGGCCTGCTGTCTCTTTTTTGCTTCGGCTGTGCTGCTTTGAGTAGTACATGTCACCTTCCAGCAGTCTTTCTGTGAGTGGCTGGACTGTGTCGCAGAACCCAGCAGCTGCACTGGGCCTAGCCAGCAGGTTTTGAGGCCATTAGCTGGCTGGAGTGGGGTCACTTGCCTAGCTGCAGCTGTCTGAATTGTCTTGATTTCCATTAAATAGGGTGGGCTGGATTTGTTGCTGTGAATAAGTCACTCTAGAGATTGCAAGAGAGCCAGTCTAATTTTCATTGGGAGCTGCCATTTGACTTGGGGAGAAAAGGTGATCTTGCCATTAATGCACCTGGTTTTCTCTTATGCAGGTGACGTCTCGGAGCAGAGACAACGACCCCAATGACTATGTGGAGCAGGATGGTTAGTGACGTTCCACTGGGAATAAGAGCTGCAGAAAGGAATGGATTTTCCTTTCAGGCTTTTCAAACTCTGCCTCTCTTTACTAGTCATGTAACCCTAGGGCAGCTGTAATCCTGGAGCTGACATCAGGTTCTAAACCTGAGAGAAAACCTCTTCACTGTGAGGGTGACAGAGCATTGGAACAGGTTGCCCAGAGAGGTAGTGGAGTCTCCTTCCCTGGAGATATTCAAAACCCGTCTGGATGTGATCCTGGGCAATATGCTCTAGAGGTCCCTGCTTGAGCAGGGAGGTTGGACTAGATGATCTCCAGAGGTCCCTTCCAACCTCAACGATGCTGTGATTCTGTGATCTAAAGTTAGCAGCCACCAGCTGCTAACTGAGAGACACCAGCATCAACAGGGTTAGCATTTTGTCCAGGACCCAGACGTAATGCCACTCAAAAGGTATCCCCAGGGCTAACGTTCTGTGTCAGAGATCTCTTCTCTCTCCCTTGTGAGAGTTCAGAGACAGCAAAGATGCAAAATGCTCTGCTGTCTGCTATGGCTTGGGGGTCTGACCTGTGTCTCCGGACATGTGTGCAACCCCTCTTTTTACTTACCAGGGTGTTTCCTAGCTACACTGGGGACACAGATAAATCCCTCAGAGAATCCAAGCAAACTCTGGCTTCTGGTGACATTTCTCTGGGCACAAATAATTCCTGCCTTTGCCTTCATGTGATCCTGCACGCTCATTTGTCCTCTGCAGCCTTCTCAAACTTGTTTGTGCTTTTCCTTAGACATCCTCATTGTGAAGCTGCGGAAGGGCCAGGAGCTCAGACTGCGAGCCTACGCCAAGAAGGGCTTTGGCAAGGAGCACGCCAAGTGGAACCCCACGGCTGGCGTAGCCTTTGAGTACGACCCGGACAACGCGTTGAGGCACACAGTGTACCCCAAGCCGGAGGAGTGGTATGTCCTGCTTGATTATACTGTGGGGCCAGGCTGGCTGTGTTTGGGGTGAGATATGTGGTCCTAAGGTGAAACCTGGGGTATCAAGTACAACAACAGCTGTAATAATGGCTCAAAACTTAAACCTGACGTGTAAGGGCTCCTTAACCTAAGTGTTCAGGTTTCTGCAGTATCTTTATTTCTTTCATTGCTGTTGGCCCTCTGTGATAAGTATGGGTCAGTCAGGAGGGACTTGAAAAGATTTTCCAAAAGACGCTTACACTTCAGCTCCAGGGATGATTTTGGTCAATAAACGATCATGAGCATCCCCTTGCACAGACTATTCTGCCACCAAAGCCAGCTACTTTGTTGTAGCTGCACGCAAAGTGGACTGGTTTGTGGCCACCCCTTCTCTCTCCTCCTGCAGTGTCCTTGAAATAGTTACTGCCTTTTTATCTCACTCCCTTTCACATTCTTTCCTGCCACTCCTTCCTGTTTTTTCTTCCCTGCAGAAGTTATATGCAGTTCAGGGTAAGATTTGAGGAAGGAGTAGAACCACTCTAGACAGAGGAGGATACTCTGAGAGCAGAGAGAGGAGGGTTACGTTGCAAGGTTGGTTTTTTTTGAAGCCCTGCCTGGTTGAGGAAGGCCCCGCGTGTGGCTCTGATTTCATCCACAGGTCTTCTCACTCTTGGAGCTCATGCTGGCTTTTCCTCTTTGGTGCTCTCACCTGCCCAGCCCCTACCAGAGTGCCATATCACTCTGCTCCAATTGTGTGCTGCATCTCAGCCAAAGGCAGCATGGTTTTGCTTTTGGGAAGCTGCTACCTTGCTTTGGCTAGGGTGAGGACTTCAGCTAGCAGAATTTTTCCACCAGTAGATAACTGAGCTGCACCTAGTAGACCTCCTGTCATGGGCTGTGCTGGAGCCAGCAGCGGAGAGGGAAACCAGGTGCTTCAGGCAGTGCAGGCTGGCTGAGAGCAGGAATTAGAGAATGAAAGGGGTATGCTGTTGTGAGAGCAGGGCGGTAGAGGCAGCCTGAGCTCAAGGTCAGCAAGACGTTGGTACAGGAGCAGGATTTGGTGCAAGGACCGCAGGAGCCAGGGATG